TAATAATTATAATTATTAATTATGTTTTTTAATTTATAAAATCTTTTTATAATCTTAACATGATCATAACCTTGCTCTGAAAGTATTTGCATAGTTTTTTTTCTCTAATTGTATTTCTCTAAGTGTAATTGTTTATTATTTTAAAAAAATTACAATTTAAATTATATTAAATTATATAATATTAATAATTGACCTAACCATTGTACCTCCATCCAATGGTGAAAGGGACTCTTATTATTAAACTTTTTGTATTTTTACCAAAGTACTATTCGCTTAAATAAAGCCATAATAAAGAGAATAGTAAAATATGTAACTGGTATCACTTTTCCCTTTCCTTGAAGTTATAATCATACTAATAATATTAATATTTACTTTACATGACAAAACTGCATATTACAAGAAGTATCTCACTTTGCCTCTGAAAGAAAAGCGGTGGCCACACACGGGTGACTGGTGTAATGAGTTTTACTTTACTCCCAAACAGCACACTGTGTCATATCATGCATTTTTTTTTAATTTTATTTTTATTTTAAAAAAGATAATTATAAAACATATTAAATAATAAAATTTATTTAAATAATAATTAATTAAAAATAAATATAAAATTTTATCAATAAAATTCAACAAATACAAAATTCTTCTAAGCCCAAAATTATTTGGGGTAAATCAGTTTTATTTGGGATATTAAATTTGGGCCGGGTCGGATCTCTGAGCTATGCTGGTGCCGCTATAAATGGGCCATAAAAAAAGGAAAAATAAATAAATAAATTGCTTTGACTCAAACAAAAAAAGGTCCACGTGTCACTTTCTCAACCTTCCATGCCTTCCGGACTCCTCGAGTCAGGCATTCTGCACGTGAATTTCCGTTCCTCCATGTCAGCAACTTGTTGAACAAATCACCGAATCAGATATCGACAGCTCATCCTCCCGCCGCGTAATGATCGGTCCCACCGTGGTTCGAAAAGACATTAATATAAAAATAATTTTTTTATATTTATTTTTTATATAAATTTTATATATTATTAAATGAACTAATAAATTTAATTTTATAAATTTTAAATAAATAAAAAATTAATTATTTAAATAATATACCAAATTATACTCCCATACGATATAAAAAAAAATAAAGTCAAAATCGTTTTACAAAACTGTTGATATTTTTTATTAAATCAACCAATAAATTCAATTTTATAAATTTTAAATAAATAAAAAATTAATTATTTAAATAATATACCAAATTATCCTCCCATACGATATAAAAAAAAATAAAGTCAAAATCGTTTTACAAAACTGTTGATATTTTTTCTCCGCAGCTTAACCAGTAAAAATAAGACAGGTGTCAACAGCAAAGCTGTAATTTTAACGGTAAACGCAGATATTTTTGGAATCTCATCTCACACTTTACTCCTCTAAAACCTTAAGTCGTCTGCTTTTAATGGCCTCTCTTTGAGCTCTCGCTTTCTTCCCCCTAAAACCCTCTTACGCCGCAACCATGGCATGGTTGGGTCGTCTGCGAGTAGCTGCCGCCTCAGTCGCACCGCAGGTAAAGCCGCTGCGTCGAATGGTTCGTGG